TGCTGTTTAACAGTAGGAAAGTTCTATTTAACCAATTTACTGGGGTTATTTCAGAATGTCACTCTAAGGTAGATAAAGTGGGAACCAGTAAATGTAGTATACCTGGATTTCCAAAAGGTCTTCAATAAGATTTTTCTCAAAAGATTAATAGGCAAGAGAAGAGCTTGTGATATTGCAGATATTATATTAAGATGGACATTTAAAACTAAATAGGTGGGTTGGATTCAGTTTTGAGAATCTAAAAGTTTTACTTTCTCACCTGCTTTCAACCTGACCAAGTATTAAAATTTCCTGCATAAAGTGTATACAGTGGAGCTCTGCCAAGTTGATTGAAGGGACAGAAAATTATAGTTATAGAGAGATACTGGGACTATTTTGGGACAAAATAGGGTAAGAGATGATTTAATAGAAACTGTTAAAGCAATGAAGGATTTTAATTGGGTGAATAGAACTCTTTCTTCTGACTGGAATATTCATGATGAGAGCTCTTGCGTTTTAAAATTCAGAGTGGAGTCTGAAGTTGGAAGAATAAAACTTCTCATGAAGGGTTGTTACGGTTTTACTCCAGGGAATAGTTGAGTCAAAAGTCATTCCATCTTTTGCAGGGATATTGGATAAGTATTTGAAAGAGAAGGGAGCAGTGCACTAAGGTTAGTTGGACTACACTAGCAAGCAGCCAGTACAGTGACATTAGCCTATATGATAGCATTTTCATGTTTTTCCTCTATTAAAACCACATAGACACTTGCCTTACAGTGAAACAGAGTCTGCCTGCTTGCAGCAAGGCATGGACAGCATTCAGACTTGACCTGATAACTGGTAAATACAGTTTGTGCAACATGAGTCCAACCTGGAAGTGATCAATTCTATTTGACAGTTGATAGCATTACCATTAATAAAGCACTTACCATCAACATCCTGGGCAGTCACTGTTAACGAGATACTAAACTGGAACAGCCACAAATACCTTGGCTCCAAAAAGAGGCCAGTGCTGGATGCTCTGTGGTAAGTGACTCGCCTCTTGGTTCACTCAAACTTTCCCACCATCTGCAAGGCAAGGGACAGGAACGTGATGGAATACTTTCCAGTTTGCTGAACAAATGCAGTTTTAACAACACTTGAAATTTGACACCGTACAGGATGAGGCAGCACACTTCTCCTTCTTGACTTTAATCATTCAGTTTCATTTTAGCAAAACTGATTTTACTCATTCACTCCCTCCACCTTGGGCATGCTTGGCGTAGTGTGTAGCATTTGTAAAGATGCACTGCAGTAACTTGTCAAAGCTTCTTTTTTGGGCTTACCAACCTAGTCCCTTACTGCCTCGGAGGATAAGGACAGCAATTGCACGTGGACACTTTCATGTTGTCCTCCTTATCACATACCATTCTGACATGGAAGTAAATTGCATTCCTTTATTACTAATAGTGTCAAAATCATGGAAATCCATACCTAACAACCCTTTGGTAGAACTGCAGATGCTGTAAATCAGGAACAAAAACAAAGTTGCTGGAAAAGCTCAGCAGGTCTGGCAGCAGCTGTGAAGGCAAAAACAGAGTTAATGTTTTGGGTCCGGTGATCCTTCCTTAACACTTTCATGTTGTCCTCCTTGTCACATACCATTCTGACGTGGAAAGGTCTGAGGAAGAGTCACTAGACCTGAAGCGTTAACCTTTTGGAAGTACCCATGCCACACAGCATGTAGCAGTGCATGAAGGCAGCTCACTGCTACCTTCTTGAAGGCAGTTAGGAGTGGCAACAATGTCCCTTCCAATGGTACCCACATCCCATGAGTTAATTTGGAAACAACTGCATGAACCAACCAGCAGTGCTGAATTCCGAATGATGGTTTGATTTTTGCAATAATGTTGTCATGTAACATTCCTTTACTGCATTTTAGAAGTTGTTCAGATGAGATCTCTTATGTAAAATTGATACAAGGGTTTTTTTTATTAGAGTATAAATTTAATACATAAATGGTTATGGTAAGTATTTTCTTTCATTACAGTCACCTAGATGAGTGAGCAATCCGTGACTGCATTTCACAGTGGTGCTGCTGATGTGGTTGCTTATATTTGTAGTTAGTGAACACCTGGTGTATTCAGAACTGCATTGAATGACTTCATTTCTTTTAGAGTTTGGACTTCAAACTTGTGCTATTTGGGTATTCGTCTATTTTTGTGAAGGAAGGGGTTTAAAAATTAATTAGGTCAGTCTTATCAGAACCATGACTTTAAAACCAGTATATAGCAGAGACAAAGCAGGTAACTGTAAGGATCTCTGCAGCGTTAATTGAAGTTTGTTTATATTTTGAGGTTTACAACAGTTGAGAGAAAATATTAAGCCATTAGCTGTCATGGCATTCAGTATGAGCAGATTTATTTTACTTTGGTTCAGTTTGATGGAGATCTGACTGGAGTCAGAAGCAAATATAGTCTCTGTTAGAAAAGAGGAGGTTATTCAGAGCAGTCAAGGAGATAAGTTACCTCAGCAAAAGAATGTAGTTTGTGAACTTTCCAAATTAGAAATGTTTGTTTAGAAATCCGTATTAGTTATTCAAAATGAGAAAATCTTAAGCTCTCAGTTGTGAGCTTAAGGAAAAGGTTCCACAGCTGTCAGGACAGAAACTGAGAAGAAGCAGTGTAAGGAAAATTTCCTCTGGGTTTCGATTACATGTGAAACAATTTATCAGGGAATAGATGAGACTTCATTTGGCCATATGTTTTGAAATCTTTAATTTGGTTTAGCTCATTTTAATTTCTTTTGTGCACTAAGCTTCTATTTAATTGTCAAATCTAAATCTGATTTGTTTCAGTAAAAGACTGCAACATTAAATTTAAAAAAAAACTCAACGTTTGATGAGTCAAGCCAAATTTCATTCTGGTGTCTGATGTGTCTCGTAGTATCTTCAGTAGAGATCATAAGTATATGTATATATAACATTATGGTGACTCATCGTAATGGAGTACATTAACCTTTCAGATATGGGATGATCACTTTTGTGTTCAATTCCAAGATCCAGTGATTGAGCAACAAGTTGAAGTGAAACTTTTTATAATGAAGGTTTGTGGTCACTGAATGTCACAATACTGCAATCCTAATTATGAGAAAGAAATGCATGGTCCCAAGTTCTGTTATGATTGTATAAACAATGAAAATTGCTGTTCCGAATCTGATTGTAAACCTTTTTCCTCTCATTGTCCTCACACTCTGTAATTCATAAAGTCAGACATATTAGTAAGGTCTTCTTGTCACAACAATGAAATGTAATGCTGCCTTTACATGGAAAGGATACTTTATTGTACAAGTTAAAACACAATTAATGAATAAATTGGCAATTTTGAGAAAAAATGTTTGGGAGACAACTGAACATAAGTGTATTATTTCCCCCCCTGAGAAATGTGAATATTATAAAGACAATGTTCATTTACAGAGGAGTGATAGTTGAACTAGACTTGGTGTGTGTTAAGACATGGGAAGGATTTTAGGATTACCTTGCGTGTGGAAAATTGATTGTGGAGGAACAGTCAGAAAATGTGTTGGCGTGGTCATGGGTGCAGGTACCAGAGGCAAGAACAAAGATTTTGGCAGCATATAATCTGAGGCAAAGTCTGTCAACAAAGTGGATGTAACCTGACTTAATTAAGGTAGATTTATGTGTTCACTCAGCTTGGGTTAAAATATGGCATCAAGCTAGGAAGGTCAGACTTGTTTAACTTCAAAAACGTAGAGATGGATAGAGTTGAACTGGGAAAGGTGTTTGAAATGGGAACTTGAAGCAAAGGCTTCAGTCTTTCCGGTGAAAAATGAAAGTGACTGCTACTGCTAACGATAGTCATGACTGAAACACAGGAAGCAAGGTGAATATATGCATGACGAATACTATATGCAAAACAATTTACTGAAATTTTCTAAAATTTGGATGTTAACACTGACTACTGGTGCATGACTTGGCTTTGCATCTACAAATTCTGATTTGTTTTGAGTTTTTGATTTTTTTTCATCTTTTCAGGAAAGGATACTAAATGGAGGCCATATGCTGGCTCAAGACCAGAAGTGAATTAAACCATTGCTCGTGCACACCTCTTTTTAAATTTTAGCTCTTTGTTTTAATCCTGTAGAAGCTCATTGAAGCTGTGCGAGTGTGCAAGACATTGGTTGTGAGCTTCATAACTCTGCAATCAACTGAAATAGTAAAAAGAAAAATGCTGTCAGTAATAATTAGTTGAAGCAGAATCTGAAAAATTAGGTAATGACTTGTGGGTACTAAATTTACATGAGAACTGCTTTAAAACATTCTGAATATGGTTCATTTGATGTTTAAGTCTATTTAACCCTACTGAATAGAGAGTTTGTCAGGTTGGAAATGGAAGGGGATTTATTTGGCAAATGTAAACAACTGCTGGATGTTTTATTTTCCGGAAATTTTCTTAATGTTTGAGGCTGAATTTTAGCTTTGACTGCTATATGAAATCATTGTGACTTTGATCAACAAATCAAAATTCTTACCCAATGTGTATTATAAGCAAGAATATTTTTGTATGCTAAAGTTTTGAATTATTTGTCACAGTGATGATAAATTGGACTGTAAACTGCAAATAATGTAAATTTTAAATGTCTTGGAGCTTTGAGTTTGATGTTTGGTTTAGTGAAAGTTATGTTTGATGTGAATCAAATATCAAAAATGTTTAATAACATTGGGTTTTTCACTCCTAATTGCAAAGTAGCAGGTCAATAATTTCTTATCGAGAGGGCATGTGCAGGATAACAAATACAATGCTGTCTGTCAACATTGTCACATGTAGAAATATTTGTTTTGTTATGTGAAATTTTATTTTCCTGCTTTCTGTTTCTGTAAGTACCACATTTAACATGTAATGGTTTTTCTCGCTCTCTCGCTCTCTGTTCATTCCGTATGATCAATGAGTTGTAGGAAATCTTGCCTCTTGGCAGATAATGAAATCCATTGTATCAGATTTAATTAGTGATTTGTTTTACAGGTTTACTTGATGGGAACCATGCTTACTATCCATCCACTTGAGAACTTGAGGGTGTACATCAGCAACCGTCCTCCACTTGTGGTGTTTATGATTAGTGTCAGTGCAATGGCCATCGCTTTCCTGACATTGGGTTACTTTTTCAAAATAAAAGAAATCAAGTCTCCAGAAATGACTGAGGTATTGTTTCTTTCCTCCGTTCTTATGGTATGAAATAATGCTTTTAAAAAATGTTTGTCACAATTCAAGCTGTAGGCTTTTACAAGAACACAGACACTATTTACATGGATTCCATCAGTAAATGTACTGAAGTGTCACTTTTGTTCTGAAATCTATGGATAGGATGTATTTATTCACTTGGAGCTAAAAACAGTTTTGCTTACAAACCTTGCCTTAATTCAACAAAATCAACTGTAGTGTGCATGTTGTTTGCCAAGTATATCAGCCTTCTCTTTTGCATACTATTACAAGAAGAATCACTATGTAATATTTTAAAATATAAACAGCACTTTTATCCTTGTAAAAATGCCACATTCTTGAACTGTCTCAGTCTTTTTCATTTTACTGCCTCAATCTATGTTAATCTATCATAGAACCCAAGAAAATCTGCTTTGTCAGGTAAAGGCACAAACCTAAGTGTATTAATTATTTCTAATTAGTAGTATTACTAGCTAATGGCATATCATAGAATCTTGGAATCCCTCCAGTGCAGAAAGAGACCATTTGTCCCATTGAGTCCAAATCCCACCCAGACCCAAACTCTGTACCCATAATCCTGCATTTACCATGCATATCCCTAGACACTATGGACAAACCACCTAATGTGTACATTTTTGCACTGTGGAGCACCCAGCAGAACAGGGAGAATGTTCAAACTCCACACAGACAGCCATTTAAGGCTGAAATTGTACCCAGCGCCCTGGTGCTCTGACGCAGCAGTGTTATCCACTGAGCCACCATGCTATCCCATATATTTGGCAACTTAGTGACTTCTGTTAAACACTTCAGGGGTTTGTGCAATAAATTGGGTGCATCTGCTGTCAGGTTTATAAAAGAATAGTCACAGAACTGAGAATAACATTTTAAATAGAACTTTATATAATGACCTTTTTCACAACTTCATTCCATACCTAAGTATATCACATCAATGGATAATTTTTGAAGTTTAGCCCCACTTGGAGAGAAATGTGCCTATGATTTTGCACATTGCAAGACCCAACAAATAAAGATCTGTTGTGATGATGTTCCCTATAGTACCATGAGAATACCCTTTACTTCATCCCATAGTGCCTTGGGATTTTTCACAGCCACTTGAGAAGATGGGTGGGACCTTGGATGATGTTTCCTCCAATGACAATGAATTTTGATTAAGTCTTGTGCTAGTTTTGGTGAGAAATTATTTTAAGTACTGTCCAATAGGATTTTGATGTAAAACTTGTTGCAATCACCATTAATTATCTCACAATTCAAAATATATGTAATATAAAACAAATGGGCAGTCATTCACAAGTAAGTTTTAAGTTTAAACTTTTAGAAATCAAAACTGAAGCTGCTCTCCCTGGCTGTGGCAGTGAATGTATCACAGGGTTTTGCAGTCGAATTGCTTGAACAAAGCCAGCCTTTTGTACGGACCTCAAAGGATAGTGATGATCTAGTGTTGACAGAAGTGTTCTGTTTTTGATAGTGTGCCCAGTTTTTTGAAAAATAAACTGATTTCTTCAAGAGTAGACTATATATTATCAACATGGATTTGAGGAGTTTTGGGAAGAGGAAGCATCAATAAATCACTACATATTGTTAGCTGCATTTTGATTTTTTTCCTTGCTTTTGTGTTGCCTGACATTTCTGAAGAGTCTGACCAATCTCCTTTAATCTCTGCTTTTTGGCAATTGATCATTTCAACAGGTCAATTAAGATAAGGACTGACCTTGCATTATTAAATTCACTGATCAGTTGCAACTTTGAAGTATTCTGATATTCTATATGCATTTTAAAAAAATCTTATCAAATTTTGCCCATTCAAAGATCCCTTGTGTATCTGCACCTCTGTGAAACCCTCTTCCATGATTTTATATGTAGACTTGAATTTGCCAATATTTCACTTGTCAACCTCTCATCTCTGATTTAGATATGCAGTGTTTGTATCCTATCCCACATCAGGTTCAATACACTAGAATCCTGTTTTCTTAATAGTTTAAACTTTTAAATTTTCTTGTTCTCTTTGAATTCCTTCATGGGGATTGCCTCCCTATGTCTGTAACCTTGTCTAGCTCTCAGACTGTGCATTCCTCCAATTCTAGTCACTTGTGTTTCAGCCACTCACATTAACAGCTGTGTTTTCAATCATTTAAGGCTTTATGCTCTGGTATTACCTCTGAATCTCTCTGCTTTTCCTCAGTCCAGTCCTCAAAATGCACCTCCTTGACCAAACTTTTATTCATCTTCCTAAAATCCCCTCCTTTGAATCAGTGAAATAACTATGAAGATTTTTCTGTAGTCCACATCCATCTGGCCCTGGACAGCATTCAAACTTGGGCTGATGAGTAATAGGTAACATTTGTGCTACACAAGTGCCTGGCAACAGCTGTCTCCTACAGGAGGTAATTAATAATTTCCCCATGATATTCAATTCTGTTACCATCACTAAATCTGTCATTATCAAAATCCTGGAAGTTACCACTAACCAGAAAACAGACAGAGTCAGCTATATACACACTGTAGTGCTACAGAGCAGGCCAGAGGCTCTAGGAATTCTGCAGCAAGTAGCTCGCCACCTGGCTTCATGAACCCTCTTCACCATCTACAAAACAAGCTGGGAGTGTGATATAACTCTACTTAACTGGATGAGTGCAATTTCAACAACAGTCAAAATGTTTGACACCGTCCAGCGCAAAGCAATTTGCTTGATTGGCATCCCATTGACCACCTTCAAAACTCACTTCCTCCATCATCGATGCAGCAGCTCATTGAGGCTCCTTTGGCAATATCTGCCAAACTCACGATTTTGGCCACCTGGAAAAATAAGGACAACTACTTGCACGTTCTCCAAGGCACACAACATCCTGTCTTAAAGCTATGTTACTGCGTCAAAATCCTGGAACTCCCTAATAGCATTGTTGGCATACCTACACCACATAGACTGCAGCAGTTCAAGACACTTGCCACCACCTTCTCAAGGACATTTATAGATGGCTAATAAATCCTGGCACAGCCTGTGACACCCACAACCCAAGAAAGGATATTAAAAAAAATCCGAAGTGCTATTTGACCATGTATTTGATATCATGAAATGGTTAATCTTTGAGCTATTACTTGACTATAATGTATCTCCAAGTATATTAATCGGGAATTGCAAGCCTAACCTGTATCTCTAACTTGTTTCAAGTTTGGACTCAAACCAAATGCTTCTTCCCACTATAGTTTATCTTATAAATAAACTCAGACACTGTGGGTTAAATACATACTCTCCTGTATGCAGAGATAGTAGGAACACCTACATCGGTTCGCACTAAACAACTGCACCTTCCAGTCGCGAACCATTTCAACTCCCCCTCCCATTCCTCAGACAACATGTCCATCCTGGGCCTCTTGCAGTGCCACAATGATGGCACCCGAAGGTTGCAGGAACAGCACCTCATATTTCACTTGGGAACCCTGCAGCCCAATTGTATCAATGTGGACTTCACAAGCTTCAAAATCTCCCCTCCCCCTACTGCATCCCAAAACCAGCCCAGCTCGTCCCCGCCTCCCTAACCTGTTCTTCCTCCCACCTATCCCCTCCTCCCACCTCAAGCCCCACCACCATCTCCTACCTACTAGCCTCATCCCGCCCCCTTGACCTGTCCGTCCTCCCTGGACTGACCTATCCCCTCCCTAACTCCCCACCTACACTCACCTTTACTGGCTCCACCCCCGCCTCTTTGACCTGTCTGTCTCCTCTCCACCTATCTTCTCCTCTATCCATCTCTTATCCACCTCCCCCTCTCTCCCTATTTATTTCAGAACCCCCTTCCCCTCCCCTATTTCTGAAGAAGGGTCTAGGCCCGAAACATCAGCTTTCCTGCTCCTCTGATGCTGCTTGGCCTGCTGAGTTCATCCAGCTCCACGCCTTGTTATCTCAGATTCTCCTGTATGCATATGTTCTCCCCTTTTTAAAGTGAGTGATAAAAATAAGATTTACTTTGTAATTTAAATTACTTCAGATCTAATTCTGTGGTTACATTCTAAGTGTAATTCTGATAATGATTAAAGGTGACGGCATCAACCGAAATCATTGTACTAAGGGGGTCGTGATTGTTGTTGGAGTATACTTTAAAAAGTGAAGTGCTATAATTATGATTTTGAAATAAACACTTATGTCTCCTGATAGGACTGGAATACTTTCCTGTTGAGATTTAATGATCTGGACTTGTGTATATCTGAGAATGAAACTTTAAAACACCTCATTAATGAAACTACCACCCCAGAGAGCACAGTAACAAGTGGACAAATGCGATCTTCCACACAATCCCCATCAGTTCTGGAAGATCCTGGACCAATAAATATTTCGGTCTCTATAACACTCACATTGGATCCTCTAAAACCTTTTGGCGGATACTCTCGCAATATTACCCACCTTAGTACAACTATATTTGGACATCAGATCGGACTGACAGGTAAAGAAACTGAAATCTGTTTCTGTACTGATGAACTATGGTGCTGTAAATTTATTTCTCTAGTCTTTAGTTATTGGCTTGCCCTTTTTCCTCTGCTTCCACAATTCAATGTTGTAATATTTTTACAAGTTTAGAATTAGAAGAATTTTGAAACTTAATTTGGTTCAATTCATTTATAATTTTGCATAGTTTTCTTTATCCCACTAATCTAGTTGTTGGATGATTCCAGTTTTTGTTTGATTTTTAATGTATTGACTTTTGATGAAATTGCGGAGAACTTGGAAATGCATGGTAAAATCGGGCTGAGTAAACATGGCTTTGTCAAGGGGAGGTCATGCCTAACACATCTGTTAGAATTTTTTGAGAAGGTAATGAGCAAGTTAGACAAAGGAGAGTCAGTGGATGTGATCTATTTGAATTTCCAGAAGGCCTTTGACAAGGTGCCACATGAGAGTCTGCTAAATAAGAGTCCATGATGTTAAGGCCAAGGTACTGGCATGGATAGAGGATTGGCTCACTGGCAGAAGGCAGTGGGGATAAAAGGGCCTTTTTCAGCAAGGCAACCTATGACTAGTGGAGTTCTGAAGGGATCAGTGTTGGCATTCACAGCTATTCACATTATATCTTAATGATCTGGACGAAGGAACTGAAAAAGGCATTGTCGCTAAGTTTACAGATGACAGAGATAGGTGGAGGGACAGGTTCTGTAGAGGAAACAGGGTGGCTGCAGAAGGACTTGGACAGGCTAGGAGAGTGGGCACAGAAGTGGTAGATGGAAAATAATGAGGGAAAATGTGAAGTTTTGCATGTTGGTAGGAAGAATAGAGGCATAGACTACTGTGTAAATAGAGAAAGGATTTGGAATTCTGAAGTGCAAAGGGACTTGGAAGTCTTACTTGAAGATTCTCTTAAGGTTAACATGCAGGTTCAGTTGGCAGTCACGAAGGCAAATGTAATGTTAGCATTCATTTCAAGATAACGAAAATACAAGAACAGGGATGTACTGCTGAGGCCAGTTCAGACCATATTTGGAATATTGTGAGCAGTTTTGAGCCCTGTATTGAAGGAAGGATGTGCTGGCTTCGGAGGTCATATGAGCAGGTTCACAAGAATGATCCCAGGATAAAGTGCTTGACATATGAGGAGCAGTTGAGGACTCTGGGTCAGTACTTAATGGAATTTAGAAGGATGAGAGGGAATCTCATTGAAACTTACAGAACACTGAGAGGCCTGGATAGAGTGGAAGTGTAGAAAATGTTCCTATTTGGTAGGAGAGATTAGGACCTGAGCGCACAGCCTCGGAGTGAAGGGATGACCCTTTAGAACTGAGATGAAGGTGATGAATCTGTGGAACTTATTGTCACAGAAGGCTGCAGAGGACAGTTCATTGTTTTCAAGAAACTATCTCTGCTTTTCTTAGTAAAGGGATTAAAAGTTATGGGGAGAAGGCAGGAGAATGACGATGAGAAATGTATCAGTTGTAATCAAATGGAGGAGCAGACTCGATTGGTCGAATGGCCTAATCCTGCTCCTATACCTTCTGGTCTTATAGGAGGGAGGTCTTTGGATTCTTGAGACATTGAGACTACTTCAGGGAGAGGTGAGAGCTGTACAAGTTGGATGGTTTAGATCTGAATAGAAATGGGACTAACATCCTTGTGGACAGTTTGCTAATGCTGTTGGGGTGAATTTAAACTAGATTGGCAGTGAGATGGGATCCTACCAGGTAGGGAGACAAGTTGAGTTGGAATTACAAGTTAAAATATTAGTTACTGAGTCTGGAAAGCAGTGGAGTCATTGGCTAGATAAGGAAATTAATTTAGCAAGGCTAATTGGAACAGAGTTAATATATACTTGGAGGCTGAGGAATAAGACAGACGGATTTAGGACGCAAGCATGTGGGATTATTATATCATAGGTAGGAAAAAAACCTGGATGAAAGACCAGGATTGCCAGCTGGTTATTGAGTATTCAGGCAGGATAGACATGTGGATAGAGAAGAGGGGGTCATGATACCAACCAAAGAATCAATTATTAATGCAAGGAGGGCTGATATCTTGGCAACGACCATCAAATGAGATTGTAAGGGTGGACGTATGAGAGAATGCATGTGTGAAGGGCTGCCCTCTGCATTTTCCTCCCAAAGATATGCAGGTTAGGTGGATTGGCCGTGCTAAATTACCGATAGTGTCCAGGGTGTGCAGATTTGATGGATTAGGGAAATGTAAGGTTACAGGGATGGGACGCTGTTTGGAGGGTCACTGTGAACTCCGTGGGCCATCTGGCCTGCTTCCATACTGTATAGACAAGAAATTACATGATGAATGGTAGAATCCTGAAATCATAGTCATAGAATCTCTACAGTATGGAAGCAGGCCATTTGGCCCATTGAGTTCACATTGGCCCTCCAAACAGCGTCCCATCCCAGTAACCCTACATTTCCCTAATCCACCTAACCTGCACACCTAGACACTATCGGTAATTTAGCATGGCCAATCCACCTAACCTGCATATCTTTGGGAGGAAAATGCAGAGGGCAGCATGGTGGCTCAGTGCTTAGCACTGCTGCCTCACAGCGCCAGGGAGCGGGGTTTGATTCCACCCTCAGGTGACCGTCTGTGTGGAGTTTGCACATTCTCCCCATGTCTGCGTGGGTTTTCTCCAGGTACTCCAGTTTCCTCCCACAGTCCAAAGATGTGCAGGCTAGGTGGATTGGCCACGCTAAATTGCCCATAGAGTTCAGGGATGTGTAGATTAGGTGGGTTATAGGGGATGGGTCTGGGTGGGATGCTCTAAGGGTCAGTGTGGACTTGTTGGGTCGAAGGGCCTGTTTCCACGCTGTAGGGATTCTATGATCGATTCTATGATGAACCTCCCATGGGCAGAATGTGCAAACTTCACCCAAACAGTTGCCTGAGGGTGAAATTGAATCTGGGTCCCTGGCGCTGCGAGGCAGCAGTGCTAACCGTTGAACCACCTTGCCTGAAGTTACTCAAGATGGAGGAGCCTTGTGTTTGTGCGTGGACAGATAGATAATATGGTTGAGAAGGAATGTGGGATATTTGTCTTTATTAGCTGAGGCATAGAATGCAAGGGAAAGGTGGTCATGCTGGAACTGTATAAAAAAATTGGAGTACTGTGCGCAGTTCGGATCAGCGTTGTTATAGGAATGATGTGATTGCACTAGAGGGGTGCAGAGAAGATTTACTAGTTTGCTGCCTGGGTTGAGGGTCTGAGTTATGAGGAAAGTTTCGATTGGCTGGGATTATTTTCATTGGAGCAGTGAAGGTTGAGAGGGGACCCAATAGAGAAGTTTAAGGTTTGGAGGAGTGTAGATAGAGTGGATCGGCAAGAAAACAAAAATAGAAATGCTGGAGAAGCTCGGCAGTTCTGGCAGCATCTGTGGAAAAAAAATGTCAATGTTTAGAGTCCTGTGAGCCAGCCAAACCACCTGAGTTTCTCTAGAAATTTGTTTTTTTTTCTTGTTTGCTTTCAATTTCCACCATCCCCACTTGCTTTATTTAAGGATCGGAATGTTTGTGTTTGGATTGGATTCATTGAATCGGATTGGATTCATTGAATACTAAATTCTGCGATTCTTTCAACAGATTTAAATCTACAGCAGTGTGAAAACTTCCATTGAATACTCAATGATTTTAATACATCTCAGCCACAGCTGAGATTTTATTATTATGATTTTTATTACTAGGAGGGTCAATAACCAAAGCGCTTAGATTTGAGGTAAATGGTAGAAGGCAAAGAGAACATTTTTCACCCAAAGGTTGCTTGGAGTCTGGAACTTATCGTTTTAAAGGATGGTTGATTCAGAAACTTTTGCAATGCTTGTGTAGTATTTAGGCCTTCACTTGCTATGTCACAGCCTCCAGGCTATCGGCCAAGAGCTGAAAGCGGATGAGCGTAGTGACATCTTTGTTGACTGGTGCGAACATGATGGGCCGAAAGGCCACCTTCTGTTCTGCAGATGTCTGAGTCTATACCTTATCGAAAGTTCTTCTCGGCATGTGTGTAAAACCACTTGTCCCTGAGAGCTACATGCCTGCAGCACAAACATTCCAAAACACGCTGCATCCAAGTTGTGTCCTTTTAGTCACAGTATCATAGTTCAGCAAAAAAAAAATTAAAAGGGTCAAGCATTTATATGAATTGTCGGCACACTCCAAGATATCACAAGAGGGGACATAATGTCTCTCACTCTATCTCCCACTGTGATTTTAGCTGTAAATAAACAACTTTTTCAATGGTTTTAAATTTCCAGTTACAGTTGCTTCATAATATGAAGTTTGTCAAATTGGTAATGTTGTATGAACCTGGTACCGTTACTGATTCCTCGAAGTGTTAGTGGCTTCAATGTTTTCTACAATATACTGTCTCAGTGCAAACTATTGAGATTTGCTTTAGATTAGCTGTAGAGTTTACACTGGTAAAAAATGTCAGAATCGCATTCTCAAGACATTGGCGATAAAACACTCCACAAATATGAACTTTTATTTAGAAAGGCTGATTGCGAGTAGATACTGGAGGTGGAAATATTTAATGCTTTTGCTTTTGATTATGTTGTATTCTATTTGACACCATTGTTTGTGCAATTGCACTTTCAATATGTCTTGTGTGATGTTTTAAGTGACTTAATTTTACTTATTCTTGCGACAGACTGACTTGAAAATGAGTCTCCTTGTGAATTGGATTATAAAGCAATATTTATTACTGAATAGTTTGTTCAATCGAATTGTGATTAGCAGATCTGCGTATTTCTTGTAGCGTACCTTATTGCATGTTGTACTTCTAATGTGCAGAACTAATAGTTATTACTAACATAACCTTTAATGTGAACATATCCATTTTGTTAAATACTGAGTATCTCTCCAGGAGTATATCACTTTTGGTTCTAATTGTAAGGTTCCTACTGGCATGTTTTGTGCATTCAGTACATCCTGAAACGTTTATTGACTGTGACTTTAAAAATGCATTGTGGCTATTTTATAGGCCATGAATCACATGAAGAAATGAATATTACATTTACTCTGCCAACTTCCTGGAATTCCGATGAATGTGTACTCCATGGCCACTGTGAGCAGATGGTTTACACAACATGCATGACCATTACAGCCACAGCTAATGTTTTTCCTGTCACAGTGTGAGTATTATTCTGGAACTGGTTTGGGTTTTCACACGGCTGTGTTAGGGTATTCGTATTTTCTAACTACCTGGAGTTTTTGAACCAGGAGTGAATATATTGTGCACGGTGAGCGAGAGAGAATATTTTAACTGATAGCTAATGCAGATGGTACGTTCAAACTTGAATTAATTTGGTCCTGGCTGTGAACAACAAATGAATTTGTCTGCAGTGATTTACACTCTTGTCACCCTCTCTACCAGATAATGGTATTGTCCATAACTATACTTTGTGTGAGGAAGCACATATTTAGTTTGGTGTTGTTTTGCCTTGGTGTCAGGAATGGGAAGTCTTCCAAATTATCCAGTAGTACAGTTACCAAATCTTTTAGCAGCCATTAAGAATTTTTAGAAATTAATTTTCTTTCTAGTTTTCAGAATCAGTAGAATTTGGGTTTTCTAGTGAAGAGTTGAACCACAAAGAAAAATCATATCTGGTTAGATTTCTGGTTGGTACAAACCTTACTGATTATAGCTGAGCAATGATAAGTGAGCTCAGGATTCTGGAGGAAAAATGTGACTCATAGTCACCATTTCTGACAGCTACTATATTAAATGCATATCTGTGGATTAGTGGTGAGAACAGAAATAAGCTCAGTTTTCCTCCCTTCCACAACTGATTAACCCTCTCACACCCACAGTTGTGATAACAGAAATAAGGACTACTTGTGTGACATGGGTAAGGGTGTCTGCCATCCATAAAATTGAATCTAAGATTCCTGATTTCAGGAGGGGAAAGCATCAAAGAAAGTGAAGTGTAAACTTATGTAAAGACACAAGAATATTTTATGGCCAGGATTCTTACATAATAAGGATGTTCTGAGAACTTGGTATTTTTGATCTGTCACTTCACTTTACCTGTGTCATCATACTATTAGCTTTGCTTATGTTTTTGGTATTGTACTATTCCATAAGTTGAAGTATTAATCCCTTAACTCTATCTCCTTGTCTGTCTGATAAATCCTTTTGCACAGAAAATTGTTTTCTTTTATGCAGCAGAATCCATTTAGATAAATTTCTTAACTGCCTGTTGGTACAATTAAAACTGGTCAATCAAATTGACTTATGCATGCTTCTCCATTCATTCTTTAGATTCAGATCCTTGGCTTCCATAGAAAGAGCAATTTATAAACTAAATTAACCCTAATCTCCATTCTGGTTCGACGACAGCATATGGAGTTTGTGACCTTGCTTGAAGAATATCTCCCATTTTATAATAAAAATTAAACCAGAGCCTCCAGCTCACTTATTGCGTTAAAAGTAATTGCTCAATGAAAATTAATTTCCCTTATGCATTGTTTCCTTTGAAAAAAGTAAATCAATTGATGTTTAACTCACACCTTTTGTCATCAGGGTATTCCACATCTTAACAAATCAGCTGCTCTGCAAGTGTAATCACTGCTGAGATTCGGGAACCGAGTGCGGTTAGCGCACACGGGTGCTCTGCAGTACCTGAGGGTGGTGCTGGAGTGATCTCATTCAAAAGCTGATACTTCCAACAATTCAGGCTTCCCTCAGTTTCCTATTGAATTTCCATCTGGACAATTCTAACATCTTGGAACTAAATCTACAACGTTCTGACATTGAGGTTAAAATTCAATCAGCTCAGTCAATTGAATTAAACTATTCCACAGATATTCTTTTCAGTTTTTCCTTAAACTGAAGGTTCTTCAAATGGTTGCTGTAGCTGGATAACATATTTGAATGTAGGTATTCTGTAACTTAAATAAATTTCTTATTTAACCCCTTTATTCATTAATGGGATCAAGGTGTTGCTGGTTAGACAGCATTTATTGCCCATCCCTAATTGCCCAGAGGACAGTTCAGAGTCAGCCACATTGCTGTGGGTCTGGAGTCACATGTAGGCCAGACCAAGTAAAGATGGCAGTTTCCTTCCCTAAAGGACATTAGTGAACCAGATGGGTTTTTTCGACAATCAACAATGGATTCGTGGTCATCATTAGACTCTTAATTCCAGGTATTTTATCAAAACCAAATTTGACCATCTGCCATGGTGAGATACGAACGCAGGTCACCAGAACATTATCTGGGTCTCTGGATTAACAGTTCAGCGATAATACCACTGGACCATTGCCTCCCCATATTTAACATTGTTATGGCCCTCCAAGGAGTTACTGCACCTTTGTTGAGATTTTCTTTCCTGTCTAGAATGCCTCTCCATAACTTGGTCTTTTACTTTCCCCATTCTGTTGGTCTTGCGCATACCATGTTGCAAATATTTTTTATTTTATTGAAAGCTGTTATAGAAGATCTCCTAAAAACTATTCATAATTTGTGATGGGTTATAACTATGCACATCTGTGACCCTGCATTTGATGAACTTTGCAGCACTGTTGCCCTAATTTTTGTTTCTTCTGTGTGACCTTCAACTTCTGTGCATGGCGGGTTTAGATGGAAGCAGATGTCTCACAGCAGGGTTTTCCAATAGCTGCATGGTCATACAACTGTAGGGAATGTTGCAGCAATGCATTTTGAGGGAATTTGTAATGTTGTGTTTGTCTTGTATTGATATATTTTGATTTTTTTTCCCTCCAACGTAACCAAAAATTGTTATGCGTTAAAGTTTGCAAGGAAAAAATTGATGAGGGCAGAGCAGTAGACATTGTTTACTTGGCCTTTAGTAAACCCTTTAAGGTTCTACATAGACTAATTAGTAAAGGTAGGTCACATGGGATTCAGGGTGAACTTGCCAGTTGGATACATAATTGGCTTAATGGCAGGACACAGAGGGGTGGTAGATGGTTGGCCTTTTGGACTGGAGGCCTGTTACTAGCGGTGTTCCATAGGGATCGGTTCTGGGTCCTCTTTTGTCATGGTTAGTAAGTTGGTGGGTGACACCAAAATTGGTGGCATCGTGGCTAGTGAAGAAGTTTTTCTAAGATTATAAAGGGATCTTGATCAATGGACTGAGAAATTGAAGACGGAATTCAATTTGGATAAATGCATCGTATTGATTTTGGTACAACAAACGGGCAGGACTTCTACAACATTACCCAAGGCCGTACTGTTAATTGTATAACTGAGGGACCTAGGGATTCAGTTACATAATTCTTTGAAGTTTACAATATATATAGACAGGGTGGTTAAAAAGGCATTTAGCATGCTTGGCTTCATTGCTCAATCCTTTGAATATCGGAGTTGGAAAGTCATGTTGAGATTGTACAGACATTGGTGAGGCCTATTTGGGAGTACTGTCTCCAGTTCTGGTTGCCCAGTTATAGGAAGGATATTATTAAGCTAGTGAGGGTTCAGAAGAGGTTTACCAGGATGTTGCTGGGTATGGAAGGTTTGAGTTATAGGGAAAGGCTGGATAGACTGGGACTTTCACTGGAGCATAGGAGGTTGCTAGATGACCTTCAGTGGTTAATAAAATCATGATGGGTATAGATAGGGTTAATGGTAAGACTCTTTTCCCTAGGATGGTAGATTTCAAGACTAGGAGACATATTTTTGAGGTGAGAGGAGAGAGACTTTAAAAAAGGGTGTGGGGGTAAATTTTTTACAACAGGTAGTTTGTGTGTAGAATGAACTTTCTGAGGAAATGGTGGATGTGGACCCAGTTGCAATGTTTAAAAGACACTTAGGTAAGTACATGAATAGGAAAGGTTTGGAGGGATATGGGGCAGGAGTAGGCAGGTGGGACCCGTTTAGTTTGGGATTATGTTTGGCATGGATTGTGTCTTTCAAACAAGATTTAATATTTGAAGTAAAGTGAAAATTACTTTTTTACAGCCAGCCACCACATTGCATCCCTGAAACATTCAGTAATGCTACCGTCTGGTATAAAATCTTCACCACAGCTAGAGATGCAAATACAAAATATTCACAGGATTACAACCCATTTTGGTGTTACAAAGGAGCAATTGGGAAAGTGTATCATGCACTTAATCCTAAACTAACGGTCATTGTGCCAGATGTAAGTAACGTATTATCTTACTATATGCATGTAAAATACAAAATTAACCTGATGTTTCATAGTTCTTGTGTTTTTCTTTCTTTAGCGCTCTAGTGACAAGCTGCCAACCCATTAACATTGCCTAAAGTTATATAAACTTTTGCACATTTAAAAATGGAAATTGAAACATTTTACTAATTTATCTTATTGTGTTTATTTACTAAGAATTTTTTAGTTCAAACTAATCTACCACCTAATATTTGTATGGGCCAAGAACCATTCAGTAGGAAATTTAGTTGGTCCGGATTATGGTATGATATGTCTACCGTGAACTTTACCCCATCAAAGTTTTATTATTTTTAAAAGACTTCTCAATTTTTTTCTCTTCCGATTTTTGCAGTTTGTATTTGATGTATGCCTTGTTGGTAATACCACGGTTGGGTCGAGTCTATTCTGTGGATGCTGCCCAATGTAAAATTATATAAATCATAGGAGTGTCAGTTGGCTCAGTTGGCTGGATAGCTGGTTTGTAATGCATAGTGATGCCAACAGTGCAGATTCAATTCCTGTACCTGCTGACGTCACCATGAAGGTACTGTCTTCTCAACTTTGCCCCTTGCCTGAAGTGTGGAGACCCCTGGGTTAAACTTACCACCAGTCATCTTGGTCTAATGAGAGAGCAGCCTATGGTCCTCTGGAACTAAGGTGACTTTACTTCTTGCTAGTGAGTACAGAATTAAGAGAATAGTGCAGATGAATGCGTGGCTCAAGAGTGGGTGCAAGAGGGAGAGTTTTAGATTCCTAGATCACTGGGACTGTTTCTGGGGCACGTGTCTATTGTACAAGTGAGATGGTCTGCACCTGAACCAGAATAGGGCCAACATCCTTGCAGATGGGTTTGCTGTTGCTGTTGGGAGGAATTTAGACTAATTTGGCAGGGACAGGAGTTGCCGTGTTAATCCAATAGGGACACAGCGCACTTGAGGAAAGGTACAAAGGCAGATGAAATTCAGCTGGATGGTCTCTACTTTAATGATGGGAGTATTAGAGCTAAGATGGATGAATTAAGGGCATTGATTAATGCGTAAAATTGCAATGTTGCCATCACTGACACATGGTTGGGGCGTGAGGGCAGCACTGGCAATTCAACATTCTGGGGTGTAGGATTTTCAGGCAAGACAGGGGAGAGTGTAAAAGTGGAGGTGATGTTGCATTATTAGTCAGTGAGTCAGTTACTGCAGTACGGAGGGATGATATCTCGGAAGGGTCATTTGAGGCTTCATGGGTAGAGTTTAGAAATAAAAAGGGGCATTCACACAGCTGGGACTGTATTATAGACCTCCAAACTGTGAACTTGCAATAGTGTTTTGGATTGGGGTATGGCAGATTTTAATAAAAGAAGGCATGATCTGGCCAAAGTAGGCCGGGAACAGCTACTTGAGGGGAAATCTATGGCAGAATAATGGTCATGGGATTGGAGGACAGCTAATGTCTTTTCACTTTTTTCAAGAAGGGTATTAGAGCTAAACCAGGGAATACAGACTGTTGAATCTCACATCAATGGTAGGGAAATTATTGGAGAAAATTCTAAAGGAGAGAGTTAATCTCCAGTTGGAGAGGCAAGGTTTGATCGAGGATAGTCAGCATGGCTTTATCATAGGGAGGTCATGCCTAACAAATTCGATTGCATTTTTTTGAGGTGACCAAATGTGTAGATGGGGCTAGCACACTTGATGTGGTTGATATGAATTACAGCAAAGCTATTGACAGGGTCCGACATGGGAAACTGATAAAGGTGACAAAAGCACATGGGATCCAGAGTAACTTGGCAAGTTGGATCCAAAACTAACTCAGTCACAGGAGACAGAGGATGGTAGTAGAAGGCTCTGTATGACTGAAGGCTGGTGTCCAGTGGCATAGCACTGAAATCAGTGTTGGGTCCCTTTATTGTTTGTGAATTACATATGATATAAACATATTAAATGATATAGAAGGAAAATGTGGGGGGCAATGATAAGTAAGTTTGCAGATGACATGAGGATTGACTGGGTATTTGACAGTGAGGAAGAAGTTCTTGGGTTACAGGAGGATATAGGCGGATTGGTCAGATGGACCAAATCGGTGGTAGATGGAATTTAACCCTGATAAGTGTGAGATGATGCACTTTGAGAACTCCCTTGTCTTGTTACTTCTTCCAATGAATGGCAGAACGTAAGGAAGTTCAAAGGGACCTTGGGGTGCTTGTCTGCAAATCCCTGAAGACAGCAGGACAGGTTAATAGATTAGTTAAAACAGCATACAGGGCACTTGTCTTTATCAGTCATGGCATCGATTATAAAGCAGGAGGTTATCTTGGAGCTGTACAGGACTTTGGTTGAATCTTAGCTGGAATAGTGTATGTGGTTCTGCTCACTCCACCACAGGAAGGATGTGATTGCACTGGAGGGGATGCAGAGGAGCTTCACCTGGAATGGAGCAGTTGAGCTATGAAGAAGGGCTGGATAAGCTCAGGTGGTTTTCTTTAGAGCTGAAAAGTCTGAGAGGGGTCCTGATGGAAGTGTATAGAAAGCAACTGTTCCCCTCAATTGAAGGGTCAGTAACAATGAGACATAATTTTAAGGTGAAAGACAGGGGTTTAGAGGGATTTGAGGAAATTTGACATCTGGAATGCACCGTCTGGGAGGGTGGTTAAGGCAGGAAACCCCATAACCTTTAAAAAGTAGTTGGATGAACACTTGAAATGTTATAACATTCAAGGCTATAGGCCAAGTGTTGGAAAGTGGGACTCATGTAGGTTGAGTAGTTATTTTTTTAATGGACTTGATGGGCTGAAGGGTCTCTTCTGATTTTAATGGCCCATATTTAAGGCATGCAAATTTACTGGCAGTTAACACGTGTAATCCCAGTATCCTTTGATGTTAATAAGGCATTAAAATTCCAAGATAATAATCAGATTTTTTAAGTTACAAAAACAAAAAGTGCTGCAAATGCTGAAAGTTTTAAAATCAGATGCACAATGATGCTGGCAGCACCTATGGAGGGGGAAATAGAATTGAAGTGTCAGTTCAATGACAGTCCATTAGTATCTTTACTCTGGTTCTGTCTGCATGATGCCAAGGTTCCTCAGTATACAGAACAGGCTAAGTATTTCAGTTCTGGTGACCTTTTGATTTTACCTCTAGCTGTGAAAATGTGCAGCTACTCTCACTTCTTAATGGATTGAACATTCTTTGGAATCATCAAGTCTAAAAACCTCTGGTCAGGATTGATGGGCTTCTGGCTGGTGTGCATCAATTTCATTATCTCACCCAGCAGTAGAATAGACTAGCTTGCTGTCATTGTGCCTCAATTTGCCTAAGAGAAATAATCCTCAGTTTGCTTGACCATGCAGCTATGTATACAAACAATAGACAAGATCAAAAAAAGGACAACAGAATATCAGACGATATGTAAATAGATTAGTATCTACTATAAAGCGAGCATATAAATTGTTAAAAAGGTAACCTTTGAATGTGGCGTGAGTTATGAGAGCTATTTTTTTTAGAATACACTGAATCCTTGGCTTTATGATTGGATGCGTAGAATACAAAACTAAGGAAGTAATGCTAAATCTTTTTAAAACACTTAGTAGGCTTCATTTGTAGTACTGTGTTCAATTCAGGGCATCTCCGTCTCGAAAGGATGCCAAAGTCTTTGTACATCTGCTGAAGAGATTTAGGGGGATGAAGGACTTGAGTTACATGGAGAGACCACAGAAGCTTAGAATAGAATCCCTACAGTGTGGAAACAGGCCCTTTGGCCCAACAAGTCCACACCGACTCTCAGACCATCCCACCCAGACCCATCCCCCTATAACCCACCTAATCTACAATCCCTGAACACTATGGGCAATTTAGCATGTCCAATCCACCTGGCCTGCACATCTCTGGACTGTGGGAGGAAACCGGAGCACCTGCACAAAACCCATGCAGACACGGGGAGAATGTGCAAACTCCACACAGACGGTGGCTCAAGGGTGAAATCGAACCCGGCTCCCTGGCGCTGTGAGGCAGCAGTGCTAACCACTGAGCCACCGTGCTGCCCCAAAGCTTGTGGTGTTCTTTTTAGAGTAGAGGGTGCTAGGAGGAGATTTGAAAGAAATGTCCAAAATAAGAAATAGGTCAGAAATTGGAGGATACAGATCTAATGTGATTAACAAAAGACCCAGAGGTGGCATGAAAACACTTTTCTTGCAGCTCCTTTTTGTGATTTGGATTGTGCTACCTATTAGAGTGGGGGAATGATTCAATTATGACTTTGAAAATAAAATTTAGTAAGTACAAAACAAAAAAAAATTACAGGGTTATTGAAAAAGAATGGGCAAATAAGATTAATTGGATAGCGAAGAACTGGCATGGACGGAAAAGATTTGCTGTATCATTATAATGTTTACATTATGCAAAACCGTGGTCAAGCTTTTGGATTGATTTGCTAACTGATGAGGATTGTACAAATTTAAGGGAAAGAAAGAAATGGTGAAACTTGTAAAATGAAGAATACAGATGCATGTTATTTTCTCTTCAACGCACTTTGATTTTCGATCTGATTGTGCAAAGTTATTCCTGCAAAAATCTTTTTCATTTACAGGATGACCGTTCACTCATTAATTTGCATTTGATGCATACCAGTTACTTCCTGTTCGTCATGGTGATTACAATATTCTGCTATGCGGTTATTAAAGGACGGCCAGGGAAAATACGACAAAACAATAGTGAATTCTGTTCAGAAAAGGTAACTCCTTCTTTTCCTGTGACTCAGCCCGATTTAAAGAGAAATTATACTCTGATCGTGATGCCTGTTAAATACAGACACTAACACAGTACATAATTGTGAGTATTATTCTCATTTTCCTAATATAAAATGAGGTCTTGGATCATTGCTATTGTCTAGAATTTAGTTTTCACCATTAATTAAATATTGGAAGCATTTAACATGTCATAATTAGTACTTGTATTTAAATTATGAACATTAAAAATGTTAAAATATTGTGTATTATTTGTGTATAATGTTGGCTGCAAATGGTTATTGAATATTAGAAACCCTAGAATTCTATTTTTCTTTAATTTTAATAAATGTAGATTGGAAATGTTACCTTGAATATTACTGAACAGCTCTGGTAGTACAAGAGCTTGGTTACCATACTTTTGTGATTCCAAAACTCTACTTTTTCCAACCAGGAATCCATGTAACCATAAATTTGGTCTGCTTATTCTGTGCTGGCCTAATTAACTCTTAGTGTGTTCAAGTTACGCAAATAAACAGGCCTCATATTCAGCAGCTGTTAACTTAGTTTACTAATGTATAAAATAAGGCAAAGTACTCTGGATGCTGGCAAACTGAAGCAAAAACAGAAACTGTTGGCAAAACTCAGCATGTCTGGCAGCATCTGTGGAGGAAAAAAGCAGAGTTAACATTTTGAGTCCATCAAACCTGACAGGTAGGAAAATGTAGTATACCTGCTGAAGACCAGTTTGGGAGGTAGGGAGAGGTGAGCGGATAGGTGGAGACAAAGCCGGGAGGTGGGGGGGAAGAGAGAGACAGACCCTGCACTTTGTTTTTTGTTTTTTGTTTAACCCACCCCCATACCGTGGGTTGTTTTCAGTACACACAACCAATTTTCACTTCCTCTCAGCTCTCATTATCTATATACCACTACGGTCCAAAACCAGAAACAAGACTGCCCACCATGACAGACCATACCATATAAATTCGGAGCGGGACAGAACAACAGCACTTCAGTGGAGGCTACACAGCACTAACAATGTCACCTAGAAGGGAGACGAAACGTTTGCACGAAAACCAGTCAGCTCAGCGAACCAGCCAACAACTCTCATTGTCATTTATTCAACTTCTCTTCTGTCCTGGCCTACTATCAATAATTCCCTCCTCTGCCTACCCCTTTCATATCTCTGCCTTTCTCTGGGTTCCGTCTCCACCTATCTGCTCACTTCTTTCTCCTGTCAACTTGTCTTCAGCTATCACTTCCTATCTGCTATCAGATCTGAAAAAGAGTTACCGGGTTCGAAATTTGACTCTGTTTTCTCCCCACAGGTGCTGCTAGACCTGCTGAGTTTCACCAGAAATTTCTCTTTGTGATGAGTGTATGCTGGTTTGTATGTGACTTTTCTTTCTTTTTCAGGTTGCACTATCAGAAGCATAAATCGCCCTCATTACTGGAAGTGGACAGGTTGTAGCATTTGCACGTTGAACCCAAAATTATGGGTGTTGACACTTTTGATTCCAGTGTCCTGCAACGTTGGTTTATTCCAACCAAAGACATTTTAAGTGCCTGTATTTACTTTGTACATATTTGTAATAATATATCCAAAACCAGTCTGTCGATGCACTTGTGCCACATGCTAATTGCGATTTTTAAAAAAAATTAAAGACAAAAAAGTTTGCGACCATACCCAGTCTAGATGTATAGAAAGAAGGTTCATGAAGATTAACCATGATTTCAGAAGCATTACTTTTCTGTTGAGGATTTTTGAACTCTTTTGAGGCTTTGAGTTGCAAAAATACTTTTTAAAAATAAACCAGTAACGTGTATCAAATGTGTAAATAATGTGTTGGAAATATGTGCTGTAGTGGTATATGCTGCATTTCTGACACCAATGATCTGTTAAGTATTTGAAGTTGATGTGTATATGTAGTTCAGCACAATTATTATCTCTTGTTAATGCTTGACTGAAAAGGCATTAAACCTTTTGGAACATTGAAGAAGACAAATGTATATTATAAAGCATTTCAGTACCGCTTGAGCTTGCAGGAAATGTATACGGAACTCATTGTGTAATTTACTATACTGCTGTCCAGCATAAGTGCTTGCTTAGACATGCCAGTGTTGGCTGTATTATGTGTATGGCTTGCTGGAATACTGTACACAATTTCTTCCACCTTTTCTCTCCTATGTACAGACCTCTCTCCCCTCTTCCCAATCCAACCACTTCCTTAGTCAAACTCTATTTGCATGTGTAGTATTGTGTGCAAACTGGTCCACAAAATTGCCTTAATCTCAATCTTTCTATTGGCCTTATTTTTGTCTTTTCTTGTTTTGTTAATACCCCCTTCACAACTTCTTTTGTTGAATTCACATTGTTTATAATGTTTGTAGTGATTGTTAAATGAAAGGAATTCAAAGCTATCATAAAAAGCTTAAAATGAGAGTTTCAGAACTTTGCTCCCCAAGGAGTAAAGTGGCACTTATTTAAAAAAAAATTGATAAAATTGATCAGAGGTCTCAATTTTAGACTACACTTATCATTAATTCGGTGTATTTCTGTGGAGTAAAAGATTTTTTTTGAGTTCCTTGATCCCTTTCCAGTTATTTCATTGTTTTGAAATGAGCCTTATTTATTGAATTAAACCAGAATGAAACAAATCTTCTGACGATATGCTGGTAACAATGGATCCAAACAGTGGTGAAAAGCAGTGAAGAATGTGGGGGGGAGAAAATCTCAGTTTTTGATTACTTTGGGTATTACACTTCTACTTCCCCAAGCAACTTTCTGTTAATATTTACGTGACACAACTAAAAATTTTTGAGTTTGGAAAATGAAATGTACTTCATTTTGCGAAACAGACTTTCAGATAAGCATGTGATTGGTTGTATTGGTACTCAAGTATGCTGAGATCAAATAGTCTGAAGTTGTGTTTTTTATTCCTTCCTGATTCAGTTAGAAGCCACCTCAGCACTACAAATAAAACATAGAATGCAAATTAGGCTTGATTCAAAATACAAGTATGTCAGCCCTGACTAGAATTGCAACTTATTGCAGTTTCTGACTAGTATGTTAAATATTCCATAGCATACATGTTGTGCATCTGTGGAAGTTGCTTATTTTCCACTCCTGTCTCCTAATTTGAATGTGGAGATGTATTGATTCCGAGCTATTGCATAAACTGAGATTGCCTCTGTAAATGTGATTTTTAACCGTAGTCATGTTGCCTCAAATCTCAGTTCATTGGCAAAGTGCCTGAGCACTGTTAGAATGCCCCATAGTTTGTTTAGAAAGGGAAATCTTTTTGTGACTTGTGTTGCTTGTTGTCTTGTTGCATGATTGTAATCATAACACATTATTTTATGACAATCTCTGGTTTCTGGAATTTCTGTGCTTTTTGGTAAAATTTGCATATGCTTTTGCTGAATAAAAGGATCCAATGATTAAAAGTGTCATTTACCTCAATTGGAGCAAACTATTGATCTGTGTTGAACAACTTCCGAATTTGTCTGTATTTCATTACTTTGGGATATAAGACTGTACGATACATTTGCACCAATTAATAACAATTGTAACCTTCTGTACCTTTGGAGGACTGTTCATAGATATGACACATCATTGCTTTAAAAATTCAGGAGTACTACTTGAAGAAACAAAGTTTTCAGTGCTTGCCACAATCAGTGCATATGTACAACACTGTCAAATTTCACAATGAGATCAATTTTTAAATTTTAGCAACCATAGAATATTCATTTCAGTAGTTTTATCATCAATGCAAATTTGGCCATTCATTTCTACTTTGGACTTGCCGCAAAGCAGTCTTCACCTCAGAACATCAAGATTAACTTTGTCCAGTTGATTGACGAGTACCAATTGAATAGCAAGTGTATTAACATGTCCATAGTTGTCCAGCTTTTGATCAGCACAACACTTAATTGAAAGCCACAAAAAATGGTTAAAATTTCACAAATGATAAACCTGCCCCCAACACACGTCTACCACACCATGCTGGATTTTGTAGGAGGATAATCATTTAGACTGAACGGCTTTCCAGATACCGATCAATCCTTTTAAATGTTTTCAGTGAGCTAGTATGCCTTCTGTTACCTGTGTTCCCCACAACGCTGGCTAACTAGGCTTCTTGGGCTTCAGGAAGTCTGACAGCTGATGGAAATTGAAAATGGCTCAATCAAACTGATGAGTGACTTTTCTGTAGGGCTTGTAGACCAAGAGTGACAGTATTGCCTCTCCTCCATCCCTAACCTCCAGGTCCCAGTAAGCTTGCATCCAAATGGCCCATCCCTAACCCCCCTCCGACAGGATGCCACTTAGACTGTATTTATCAGGAAATCACTCCTAATTTTCACACATCAGGTACAAATCCACTCGTTCTCCTGGCTGCTTAAGCTTATCAATGAAATCTGCACTTCAAAGCGCTGAATCTTACCCTGCTCACTTCCCATTTTACAATTATTATTGAGCCCCTGTCTTTTCCGATCCTTGTGTTTTGCTACCATCTAGTCTTAAAAAGCCTAATTCAGATTTATATTTCCACTATGCTTCAGTATTCTGTCATAGCTTTTGCATTCCTTCCATTTCACCTCTATGAATCAACAGATATCTGCAGTGTGTAAATCCAAGTTGTAAACTAAATGTTTTAACTTAAGTCAAATTTTTAGAATTAACAAAAGTTAATCCTCATTCTTTAGAATGTTGTAAGTGCAATTTTTGCATTCAAAAATTAATTGATAATGCTAAATTGATTAAATATGTGACTGTTTATGCAAACAATAGTCTTCATGGATAGATCTTGCAAAAGTTTGCTGTTGTCATTCTCCTGCTATCTGGCTGGGTATCCAGTAGTTCTTTCCCAGCTTGTGCCTATAATTCTCATAGTTTAGAAGCTTTAACAGGATAATGATCGAGAGTAGGCGCTGGCCTAGTGGTATTGTTGCTAGACTATTAATCTATCAGCTAAAAGTCAACAGCAATGTGGTTGACTTTCAATTGCAATGTGAAATGGCCTAGCAAGCATTCAGTTGTACCAATCACTACACAGTTTCATAGAAATGAAACCGGACAGATCACGTAGCATTGACCTAGGCACCAGAAAAGACAACTTAAGAAACAGCATTGTTGGCCCTGCCGACCCTGCAAAGTCCTCCTCACTAACATCTGGGGGCTAGTGCCAAAATTGGGAGAGCTGTCTCACAGACTAGTCAAGCAACAGCCTGATATAGTCATACTCACGCAATCATACCTTACAGATAGCACCATCACCATCCCTGGATATGTCCTGTCTCACTGGCAGGACAAACCCAGCAGAGGTGGCAGCACAGTGGTATACAGTCGGGAGGAAGCTGTTCTGGGAGTGCTCAACATTGACTCACACCCCACGAAGTCTCATGGCTTCCAGTTAAACATGGGCAACGAAAACTTGTGATAACAAGGTGTAGAACTGGATGAACACAGCAGGCCGAGCAGGAAAGCTGATGTTTCGGGCCTAGACCCTTCTTCAGAAATGGGGGAGGGGAAGGGGATTCTGAAATAAATAGGGAGAGGGGGGAGGCGGATAGAAGATGGATAAAGGAGAAGATAGGTGGAGAGGAGACAGACAGGTCAAAGAGGTGGGGGTGGAGCCAGTAAAGGTGAGTGTAGGTGGGGAGTTAGGGAGGGGATAGGTCAGTCCAGGGAGGACGGACAGGTCAAGGGGGCGGGATGAGGCTAGTAGGTAGGAGATGGGGGTGGGGCTTGGGGTGGGAGGAAGGACAGGTTAGGGAGGCGGGGACAACTGGGCTGGTTTTGGGATGCGGTTGGGGGAGGGGAGATTTTGAAGCTTGTGAAGTCCACATTGATACAATTGGGCTGCAGGGTTACCAAGCGAAATATGAGGTGCTGTTCCTGCAACCTTCGGGTGGCATCGTTGTGGCACTGCAGGAGGCCCAGGATGGACATGTCGTCTAAGGAATGGGAGGGGGAGTTGAAATGGTTCGCGACTGGGAGGTGCAGTTGTTTGTTGTGAACCGAGTGTAGGTGTTCCGCAAAGCGGTCCCCAAGCCTCTGCTTGGTTTCCCCGATGTAGAGGAGGCCACATCTGGAACAGCGGATACAGTATATCACATTAGCAGATGTGCAGGTGAACATCTGCTTGATGTGGAAGGTCTTCTTGAGGCCTGGGATGGGGATGAGGGGGGAGGTGTAGGGACAGGTGTAGCACTTCCTGCGGTTGCAGGGAAAAGTGCCAGGGGTGGTGGGGCTGGAGGGGGAGTGTGGAACGGACAAGGGAGTCCCGGAGAGAGTGGTCCCTCCGGAAAGCAGATAAGAGTGGGGAGGGAAAAATGTCTTTGGTGGTGGGGTCGGATTGCAGATGGCAGAAGTGTCGGAGGATGATGCGTTGGATCTGGAGGTTAGTGGGGTGGTACGCGAGGATGAGGGGGATTCTGTTTGATTGTTATTGTGGGGAGGGGGTGTGAGGGATGAATTGCGGGAGACACGGTCGAGGGCGTTCTCGACCACTGAGGGGAGGAAGTTGCGGTCCTTGAAAAACAAGGACATCTGGGATGTTTGGGAGTGGAATGCCCCATCCTGGGAGCAGATGCGGCGAAGGCGAAGGAATTGGGAATAGGGGATGGCATTTTTGCAGGAAGGTGGGTGGGAGGAGGTATATTCTAGGTAACTGTGGGAGTCTGTAGGCTTGAAATGGATATCGGTTTCCAGGTGGTTGCCAGAGATGGAAACACAGAGGTCCAGGAAGGAGAGAGAGATATCAGAGGTGGTCCAGGTGAACTTAAGGTTGGGGTGGAAGGTGTTGGTGAAGTGGATGAACTGTTCGAACTCCTCGTGGGAGCACGAGGCTGCGCTGATACAGTCAGTCATCGATGTAACGGAGGAAGAGGTGGGGTTTAGGGCCAGTGTAGGTACGGAAGAGGGATTGTTCCACGTAACCTACAAAGAGGCAGGCATAGCTTGGGCCCATGTGGGTACCCATGGCCACCCGCTTTGTCTGTAGGAAGTGGGAGGAATTGAAAGAGAAGTTGTTAAGGGTGAGGACGAGTTCGGCTAAGTGGATGAGGGTGTCAGTGGAGGGGGACTGGTCGGGCCTGTGGGACAGGAAGAAGCGGAGGGCCTTTAGGCCATCTGCATGGGGAATGCAAGTGTATAGGGACTGGATGTCCATGGTAAAGATGAGATGTTGGGGACCAGGGAATCGGAAGTTTTGGAGGAGGTGGAAGGCATGGGTGGTGTCACGGACGTAGGTAGAGAGTTCCTGGACCAAGGGGGAGAAAATGGAGTCGAGATAAGTGGAGATGAGTTCGGTGGGGCAGGAGCAGGCAGAGACAATGGGTCGACCAGGGCAGTCAGGTTTGTGGATTTTGGGAAGGAGATAGAAACAGGCGTTGCATGGTTGGGGAACAATGAGGCTGTGGGTGGGAGGTCACCTGAAGTGATGAGGTTGTGGATGGTTTGGGAGATGATGTTTTGGTGGTCAGGGGTGGGGTCATGATCAAGGAGGCGGTAGGAGGAGGTGTCGGAGAGCTGGCATCTGGCCTCAGCGATGTAGAGGTCAGTGCGCCATACTACAACTGCACCTCCCTTGTCCGCGGGTTTTACGGTGAGGTTGGAATTGGAGCGGAGGGAGCGGAAGACTGCATGAAACAAAAACTTGTGCTGATTACCACAACCTGTCCTCCCTCAGCTGATGAATCGGTACTCCTCCATGTTGAACAACACTTGGAGGAAGCACTGAGGCTGGCAAGGGCACAAAATGTACCCTGGGTGGGGGATTTCAATGTCCACCACCAAGAGTGGCTTGGCAGCAGTACTACAGATCGAGCTGGTCACGTCCTAAATGATATAGCTGCTGGACTGGGTCTGCAGCAGGTGGTGAGGTAACCAATAAGAGGGAAAAGCATACTTGACTTAATCCTTACCAGTCTACCAACTGCAGTTGCATCTGTCCATGACAGTATCGGTAAGAGTGACCATCGCACAGTCCTAGTGGAGAAGAAGTCCTGCCTTCACATTGGGCATAACCTCCATCGTGTTGTGTAGCACTATCACCGTGATAAGTGGGTCAGACTTTGCACAGATCTAGCAACTCAAGACCGGGCATCCATGAGGTGCAGTGGGCCATCAACAGCAGCAGAATTGTACTCCAGCATAATCTGTAACCTCAACGCCTGGCATATCCCCCACTCAACCATTACTATTGAGCCTGGGGATCAATCCTGGTTCAATGAAGAGTGCAGGAGGGTATGCTAGGTGCAGCTTCAGGCATATCTGAAGATAAGCCATCAACCTGGTGAAGCCACCAAACAGCAAAAGCAGCAAGACAGAGCTAAGCGATCCAACCAATGGATCAGATCTAAGTTTTGCAGACCTGCCACACCCAGTCATGAAGGGTGGTGGATGATTAAACAACTCACTGGAGGAGGAGGCCCCACAAATATCCCCATCCTCAATGA